ATATATATATATATATATATATATATGAGCAATTCCATGAAAATGTCAACCTTGCCATGAAAAGAAAAATGTTTTCACCAAAATAGCGAAACCGTTTCTACATTTTTTGCACAGGCAAGTGACAAAGTCAAACAAATGGCAATTTCACATCCATCACATCCATAACGAAAAAGTGTCACATCCATAACAAAGCTTTTCCCTCAAAAATGTAAAAATGTCAAAATAAAATAAAATCAATCAGTTTTGTTCTATAAAGAGCCAACTCTTATCCTTTTGTAGAGCATTATTTATTTTGGGTTGTGCAGTTTAATTCACAGAATTTCTACGAAATATGTTGTATACTGTAAACTCGCAGACTTTTTTGTCACATCCATAATGCTTGTTTATTTTCCTCATTTAAAGTATAAAAATGTTCACAGATTGAATTTTTTTGATCCCATAACTCTGTGGTTAGTTGTTTTGGAAAATATAAACAGATGATTCAATATAATGTTAACATATACTTTATCTGCGAATTTTTTGTTTTGAATTTTTACTGCAAATGTCACATCCATAACGCTGTATGTGTGTGTGTGTGTGTGTGTGTATGTATGTATATATATATATATATATATATATATATATATATGTGTGTGTGATATGAAATGATATATTTATTATAATAACATTAATATTAAAATATTTATTAAAATAATATTTTAGTCATATATAGAACAAACATATTTAGAATTAAAAAGATAATACAATTAAATTCAAGCAAAATATTGCAAAAAAAAATTACAACCTACAAAATTCCAACTTAATTTTTTCTTTTTTTTCTTTTTTATTTGTAATTAATATTTTTCTATAACATTTAAATTTGGCTGTACTAGTTTTTGGACCGTTATAGTAAGTTATTTTGTTAGGTAAGCTCCAGATTTGGCTTCAGTACTGACTAATCTAATGTATATGCACAAATATAACATTGTACATCTTTATATTAAAAATATGAATGTAAAAGAGAGATTTGTGAGGGGTGTACTTATACAGTATATGCTAAGCACTGAGCATATATATGTATATACACACAAGCCACATTTCATTTTGTTCCCAATCGCGGTTTAACTTATTGCTAAACTTTTTAAACCACTAACAGAGTTGAGATGATTGACAGGGCTCGTAACTAAGCAACATAACCGATTGAGGAAGTACAGGGCTCGAAATTAACTTTTTTACTTGGTAGCACCGGTGCTCCCAACTTCAAATATTTAGGAGCACCAAAATAAATTTAGGAGCACCAGATAAAATTTAGGAGCACCCACCAAAACTGAATGAGCACCGCTGCAAATTGCTTTTTAAGGGATTTATTGTATTTTAAAACAACATCAATAGGACTGACAAAAACCAGAAACAACTATCTAACTAATGCTGCGAAGACATTGATATTTGTGTGCAATAATTCCAAAATGAATGTCTAATAATTAGGCTATAGAATATTAGTGATGATGAAAATGACAATAATAGTAACAATGAATTCCATTTCTCAATATGATACTGCCTTGAATGTGCATGAATGTATGTTATCTGCTATAAAAAGTCTGTTACTTTATGAAAAATAATTGTATAGTTTGCATCAAACAAAAATGAAGCATTGCAGTAAGAAATATTTATTTTGTACTGCTGTTTTTATATGCATGTCAATTTAATAAATAATATTTCTGCTACAAAACAAACAAGATTATAATAAATCATTCAATTCAATGATGAAAGCTGCAAAGCAGTCATCAGTAAATAAATTTAAAAAAAATAATATACACCTCAAAAAAGAATAGACAAAAGAAAGAAAGTCTCACTTCTATCACTCTTTAAAAGTTTTGGTTTCAGTTTGTGTCAATTTAAAGGTTCAGTCAGAGATGATCTTCATTTTTCTGTGTTAGTGGAAAAGCTGGCGAGTCAGACGACCCAATTTATGAGCAGGCAGAGCAGGATTCTTGCGGTGACCACCAGCGCAATACCGCTCTTTGTTAGCATGTCAAAGTAGCATGTCAAAGAGTTTGCACTCTTCTGCTATACACTCAAAGGAATGAACTTTTCTTCACAAAAAAAAAGTACATGCCTTTAGGAAGTAGTGCAAGTTTGCGAACTGAGATGCAGCATTGGAGACAAAAAAAATTTACCTGCAGTTCTAGAATGACCCGCACGCACAGACAGACAAACATACTGTTACAAACCTGTTTGCGCAAATCTCCATGTTTCTGGGGCCGAACTTTGTCCAGCCAGTCTGCTTTGGCATCATTAAAGTAGCTCTGTACACGAGATTTTAAACTTTCATACTGCCATATCGCTGCTCCCCCGAACGAACAACCTGTAAACTGAGTTGAAATTATTAAAATAATCTTTTACATAGAGGAAAAAAAATATCAAAATAAAAATACAACAAACTAAATATTACAATACACACATACACTAGACTTTATTCACGAAATGCATGAAATTACAGTGTCAATTTCCAATATAAGTTTCATTTAGGTTGTTTTTTTTGCGCATTAAAAAAAAAGAAAAGAAAAAGTCAATTGTTTCATATAAAGCAAATAAATTATAACAATTTATTAAAAACCTGTAACGTTAGCTGCAAATATCTAAAAATAACCGTACAAAGTCAAATAAAAATGATCATTCACACATATGCATTGGATCTTACTCCTGAAATATCAAGAATTACAGTAAAAAATGAATTAAAATGTATATATGTATTACTTTATTACAACATACAATTAAAAATCTATATTATTCAACTGTTAAAGTAATCTGAATTAATACAATATTACAATATAAATGTGAATACTTAAAGGTGCAGTAGGTAAGTTTGACACCCCGTGGTTGAACTAGGTGTTGCACCCCTGAGCCTAAAGGCTATTAAAGTAAATATGTGGAATATTTTTATTAATATGGAATATTTTCCAATATATTAAAAGAAGTTTTTGTTCTTTATATATATGCTCTGAATTTGCTAATATTCTACTAGGGATTTTGTGCATGCTTACTGTACCAGAAATATAAATAACTTTCAATTAGAGAATCGAATAAATAATTAGGACAAATACAATTCAAGTACCACAGAAGCAAAAAAACAAACAAAATTAACTAATTAAATCCAACACAGAATTAATGATTATTATTAACCATATAATGATTTAGTTTCATGAATGCATCAGAAAATACACCTACCCCTACGGTGAAGATGAATGGTTTGACCAGTCTGCCAAATGACTTGGTGGGCCTGGGAGGAGTGGGCGGGTCTGGTGATGGAGCCACGCCCTTCTTGTGCAGTATTTCCTTTGGCTCCACCTCTTCAACCTTTTTTGGCTCCACCCTCTTGCGAAAGCCACATCTCTGCTGCGTCTGGAGTCGGAATCTATTCAGAGCACAACAATAGATTTAAAGTGATTATTAAAATGACAAAAAATAATGTTATATGAATCAAAAAATATATATATATTTATTTTAAGAAAAACATTTATTTAAGAAAATATTCATTCTACACCCATTAATAAAAGATAATGAAAAAATACATACATAAATAATAAAATAACCTTGAGAAACTTATAAACCACACTTGCAATGCATTTTTTTGTGTGATGTGTTTTTACTACAATGATTTTTGTTATTATTAAATTACTATACTCAGAGTCTGACTAGGATTATATTTAATCCTTCTGGAAATACAATAATCTTTTAATAATTAAAACAAAATACCTTAGTATTCTTATTCTTTAACAAAGTTTAAGTCAGAAGTTTTTAGTTTAGTTTTTTTTAGTTTTGCGTTTCTCTTCTTGGTTTCTGCTTATTAACAGCAGGTGTTCATCATCAGTGCTCAATCATCACTTAATTAACCCCATCATTGTCTCATTAACTTTAACTCTGCTGTTGAGTAAATGTTACTCAATTTAGAGAGGGACCAAATACTCTCTGAACGGAGTAAATTTTACTCTGAGGATTTTGCTGTGTGTATGAGCGTGAATGGATGTTTCCCAGAGATGGGTTGCAGTTGGAAGGGCATCCGCTGCGTAAAACATATGCTGGATAAGTTGGCGGTTCACTCCGCTGTGGTGAATCCAGATTAATAAAGGGACTAAGCCGAAAATGAATGAAAGAATGAATATTCAGTGGCATAAAATGATCTCAAATTGTCAATATTATCGCTTATTACAACAATTTCTGTAACAAATATGTCGCACAACAAACAATTCATTATCCTGACAGGCCTACACACACCTAATAAATCATGTTAAACCAAAAAATCTAATAATTTTCACTTTTATTGAACATTTAATGAATAATTAAATAAATAACGGAGTGTTTAATTTAACTGAAAGACACGAGGTCATTTAAACAGAACCAACACGCCGTGATACAGCGTCCATCATACACAAACCTTATGGTAATGCAACATTTATTATGAAATATTATGAAACAACAGTAGTTTCAGCTCAGTGTTGAGTGCTGGTGTGATTAAAGCCACTCAATCTGAATGTCAGAGGAGGATTCGCTCGGCGTGTAAGTTAGACAATGTGTATGAGAGAGAAGTGTGTATGTGTGTTACCTGCTCCTCAGAGAGTGTGTGTGAATAAAGTCCTCTGAAGCCCACCTGAACAACACTAAACCCCTCACCGCCATCATAACTGCGACCCTCTGATGCCTTGCATAAAACTGCGCTTTCCGCTTCCGGCTCACAGCGCGCCATAGCGGCTCCTGTTGGAGGAGAACAGTCACTGACAAAACTTTCTTTCTTTCTTTCTTTCTTTATTTCTTTCTTTATTTATTTATCAATTTATTTATCAATTTATTTATGTATGTATGTATTTATTTATTTATTTTCTTTTCGGCTTAGTCCCTTTAATTATCTGGGGTCACCACAGTGGAATGAACCACCAACTTATCCAGCATATGTTTTACGCAGCAGATCCAATTCAATTCAATTCAGCTTTATTTGTATAGCGCTTTTACAATGTATATTGTGTCAAAGCAGCTTCATATAAATGGTCATAGTAACTGGATAAGGGTCGTTCAGATGTCCTTCCAGCTGCAACCCATCACTGGGCAACTGATTTATTTATTTATTTACTCATTTATTTATTTATTCGTTCGTTTATTTATTTATTTATTGCAAATTGTAATTACATTAAATAATTAAATTAAATTAAATTTAATTAAATTTAATTAAATTTAATTAAATTTAATTAAATTTAATTAAATTTAATTTAATTTAATTTAAATAAATTAAAATTAAATTAAATTAAACTGAGCAAAGATCAATACAAAAGATAAAAAAGCCAATGAAACCCTTATAATATTAGACAGCAATCTAGCTTTTGAAAACCATATATCCCATGTCACAAAAACTGCCTTCTTTCATCTGAGAAATATCGCTAAATTACGTAGTATGCTATCCATCTCAGATGCAGAAAAGCTAGTCCATGCTTTTATGACTTCTAGGCTGTATTACTGTAATGCTCTATTTGCTGGCTGCCCAGCATCCTCTATTAACAAACTTCAGCTAGTACAAAATGCAGCAGCCAGAGTTCTGACCAGGTCTAGAAAATATGATCATATCACCCCAATTTTATCCTCCCTACACTGGCTGCCTGTTAAGTTTCGTATTGAATTTAAAATATTACTTCTCACCTTTAAAGCTCTAAATAATCTAGCTCCTGTTTATCTAACCAACCTTCTGTCTCGCTACAAACCAACTCGCTCTTTAAGATCTCAAAACTCAGGGCTTCTGGTAGTACCTAGAATAGCAAAATCAAGTAAAGGAGGTCGAGCCTTCTCTTTCATGGCTCCTACACTCTGGAATAGCCTTCCTGATAATGTCTGAGGCTCAGATGCACTCTCCCAGTTCAAAACTAGATTAAAGACCGATCTGTTTAGTAAAGCATACACTCAAGGCATCACTTAGCGGGGTTCCACACAAGTTTCTGCATCTTGTTTATATACAGTACACTATGAACAGCAGCTACGCTAATTATTCTCTTTATTCTCTATTTGGGATACTCATCCTGAGGTCCTCAAATTATGCGGAGTCACTGATTGGATCCAAGTCCAGCGACGAGATAATCCCAAGGTGTCCATATCTGGGACCAGGCCGTATCCTGAGCTGCTGCTGCGCTGGTCATGAAGGAGTGGAGAGCATGAGACTGATTCCAGTGACACTCCAGGGACAGACGAGTCTTCGCTGAGGCCAGCTTCCAGCCTCCACCGCTGAGACTGCAGCTCTGCACATGACTTTTGGCCGGCGGAGAAATTAAAATGGTCGTGCCCAACTGAGTCTGGTTCTCTCAAGGTTTTTTTTCTTCACTCTCCTATGGGTGAAGTTTTTTCCCCTCTCCGCTGTCGCCACTGCCTCGCATGGTTCAGGATCTGTAGAGCTGCGCATCGATGAATTTGCTCTTCAGTGTTTGGACTCTCAGTAATGATTAAATCACACTGAACTGAGCTAAACTGAACTGAACTTAAACACTGAAAACTGAACTACCCTGATCCAGTTACTATGACCATTTATGTGAAGCTGCTTTGACACAATCTACATTGTAAAAGCGCTACACAAATAAAGCTGAATTTAATTGAATTGAATTAAAATTGAACTCTTTGGAGTGAATGCCAGGCGTTACGTTTGGAGAAAAGCAGGCAGCGCTCATCACCAGGCTAATAGTATCCCTATAGTGAAGCATGGTGGTGGCAGCATCATGCTGTGGGGATTTTATTCAGCAGCAGGAACTGGACGACTAGTCAAGATAGAGGGAAAGATGAATGCAGCAATGCACAGAGACATCCTGAATGAAGACCTGCACAAGAGTGCTCTTGACCTCAGACTGGTGAGACGGTTCATCTTCCAGCAGGACAATGAGCCAAAACACACCGCCAAAATATCAATGGAGTGGCACAACAACAACTCTGTGAATGTCCTTGAGTGGCCCAGCCAGAGCCCAGACCTAAATCCTATTGAACATCTCTGGAAAGATCTGAAAATGGCCGTTGCTTCCCATCCAACCTGATAGAGTTTGAGAGGTACTGCAACGAGGAATGGGCAAAAATTCCCAAAGACAGGTGTGCAGAGCTTGTGCATCATATTCAACAAGACTTGAGGCTGTAATCGCTGCCAAAGGTGCATCAACAAAGTGTTGAGCAAAGGTTGTAAACACTGATGTCCATCTGTTTTTTCAACTTTTTTATCCCTAAAAAATTTGCAACAATTTAAAAAACTCTTTTTCCACATTGTCATTATGGGGCATTGTGTGGTGAATTTGGAGAAAATTAATGAATTGACTCCATTTTGGAATAAGGCTGTAACATAAACAAATGTGGAAAAACTGAAGCACTATCAATACTTTCAGGATGCACTGTATATTTACTATTAAGTGACTATAACGTTTTAATCATTATTAAAAGGTTCAGTGAATTTAAAATGGTATCAAATTATGGCAGGTAATTGTTAACATTACTTTGATTAAGAATAAATTTACGATTTAAGGCTGATTTATACTTCTGCGTCAAACGCCGGCGTATGCTACGGCGCTGACGCATAGCCCTTCGCCGTGGACATCGGCGTCACTGACGTGAGCCTCTCAAAAATTGTAACTACACGTCGCAACGACGCGTAGCGCAAGCTCTGTGATTGGTCGGCTTGCTAGCGCTGACGAGTCTGGGCGGGACCGAGAGCTGCGCGAATGGCGCGAACGATTGTTTACAAGTGGGGAGTCCCGTGAAGGAGCTCCGGATGGAAAGTTTTGTTTTGTGTTTACCTCATAGCTAAAGTTGTTGCACATCCGCCGGTTCCTGCCTTAAAATAAGCGAGTTTGAGCCACTTGTACATCCCGGAAGTGTTCAGGAGAAGCAAAACAGCAGTGAAGAAACTCGACACAGAGGAACATTTACACCTCACTGCCAACTACCAACAGAGACAGCACACAGAAGTATAAATGCATAGCCACGCGCGTTGCATGCGCCGTGTGTTACGCCGGTCACTTGACGCAGAAGTATGAATCAGGCTTTAGCCTGAGAGTTAAGGCTGATTTATATTTCTGCGTCAAACGCCGGCGTATGCTACGGCGCTGACGCATAGCCCTTCGCCGTGGCCGTTGGCGTCGCTGACGTGCACCTCTCAAAAATTGTAACTACACGTCGCAACGATGCATAGCGCAAGCTCTGTGATTGGTCGGCTTGGTAGTGCTGACGAGTCTGGGCGGAACCGAGAGCCGCGCGAATGGCGCGAGCCCAATGGAGCGATTGTTTACAAGTGTGGAGTCCCGTGAAGGAGCTCCGGATGGAAAGTTTTGTTTTCACCTCATAGTTCAAGTTTTTGCACGTCCGCTGGTTCCTGCCTCAATATGAGCGAGTTTGAGTCAGTTGTACAACCAGGAAGTGTTCAGGAAAAGCAAAACAGCAGCGAAGAAACTCGACCCAGAGGAACATTTACACCTCACTGCCAACTAGCGTTTCGGAAGTGTTAATGCAGACCGACAGAGACAGCGCGCAGAAGTATTTATACTTCTGCGCGCGTTGCCTGGGCCGTGAGTTACGCCGGTCACTTGACGCAGAAGTATAAACCAGGCTTTAACCTGCCCTGGACCAGGCTAGTTTCTCAGCATAAGAATCAGCCCTTACCAGATTTACCAGAATAGGTCTGGCTTTTTCTCTAAGCTTGGTTTATGGAACGGGACCCTGGTGGACATGCAAGCTGAGACTGCATACAATGTTTTTTTGTTTTTTTTGTGCGTGTACGCCAAACCCCGCCCCTAACCCTACCCCTCAGGGTGACGTCACCAGCTCTATTGAATGCATTTGTCTGAGATCTAGAGGAAGTCTACACTGCAGCCAGATAGTATTAGACTCACACTATAATTAGCTGTTACTCCAACTCCATAGAACTCCAAATAAAAACCAGAGACTATGCACAGTCCTATCTAAAGTGTTTAAGGTGTCAAATGATGAACAGTAAAAATGACAAACTGTACCTCTTCCCATGAGGGAAAACAAAATAATGGAAGTCAATGAGGCAAAAACAGCCCCCAACAGAAAATGAGGGAGAATAAAATTAAATCTGATGCTGCACAAAAACTAAAAATGCATCAGCCAATGTTGTTCACTAAACTAATCTCTCTTGCTCTCTCTCTCTTTTCCCTCTGCGCGTGCGTGTGTGTGCGCGCGCGCGCTTCAGCTCAACAGACTCCTCGCGAACATGGCGGCGCCTGCGCTCTCCAGCCGGGCTGCTTCAGCTGGAAACAGCCCCACCGCCACCCCGAGCAGCTCCAAACCCGTCCCGCAGGCTCCCGAGTTGGACTTTAGGTCCGGGACGCGGATAGAGGAGCTCAACCGGCTGATCGGAGAGTTCAGCAAGCACGAGCAGCGCGAGTACGACGACCAGCGCGCGCTCGAGATCCACACGGCCAAGGACTTCATCTTCTCCATGCTCGGTGAGAAAGAGCTCCTATTCCTCAATGCATGCCTCCAAACCACAAAACCAGCCTTTATTTACATGCATATGGAAGGAGGAGAGAAATGTGGGTTGTTTTGCTGGTGTGTGTCCTTTGTGAAGCGCTTCAGTGTGTGTTTATGAGGATGACGACGGTGATGATGGGTGTGTTTCAGATGCAACACCTTTGAATCACGAATCACTGTTGTTCATGTGTGACCCTAGACCACAAAACCAGTCATAAGAGTGAAATTGAGATTTATACATGAGAGAAAAGCTGAATAAATACGCTTTCCTTTAATGTTTGGTTTGCCTGGGTACTATTTAGTTGATATGCAACTATTTGTAAATCTGAAATATCTAAGGGTAAAAAAAATCTGATTGAAAGTGCTTAACTATGCACATTACTAATCAAAAATGTAGTTTTGATATATTTACAGTTACAAATGTACAAAATATCTCCAGGGAACATGATCTTTGCTTAATATTCTAATGATTTTTGGCTTAAAAGAGAAATCAGTAATTCTGACCCATAGGCTACAATGGATTTTTGGCTATTCCCAAACATGAGGCAAAATAAGGCTCATTGTTTAATAACCAACATGGATTGCTTACTTTTCTAATTATTATTTTCTATGTAAATAGTGCTAAATATGTATATTTTAAATGTCAAAATGTAGCATTGTACGTTGAACAGACTAAACAGCAAGTCTTTCATCACAGAAATTGTTCACCTCCTTTTATAAACATTAGCTGTCTGTCAGCTGTTTTTTTTATCCTCAGGCTATGCTTTTTTTTCACCAGGCATGACACTGATCTCTTTAAAGTCTGCATGAAATCAAAATGCAGTCTTAAGATTTAAAAATTTATCTGTGCCAAGTTAATCCACTGGAAAAAAACTGTTTTGGTTATCTTTAGTCAAAATCTGGCCATTTGCTTCTGCTCTGTAGTGGCAGTCCTTCTCTGATTGGGTGAAATATGCTTAGCCACGCCCCTTAGCGACTTTTGTTCTCATTAAACTATTTATTTAGGAATAAATGTTCAATTTATGCCCATGTGAAAAGATTCTTTTCCCAGTGATGGGTTGCGGCTGGAAGGGCATCCGCTGCATAAAAACGTGCTGGATAAGTTGGCGGTTCATTCCGATGTGGCGACCCCAGATTAATAAAGGGACTAAGCCGACAAGAAAATGAATGAATAAATGGATGAAAAGATTCTATAGTCATTTATAGTAAATATTTTAAAGTTTTTGTATCAAAATAAAGTGTATTATAATGTATATTTACAAATCTTTTTTAACAACAACGTACTGTATTATTATGCAAAATAATGCTAATAACTATAGTGAACTGATAGAATGTTTTATATATATATATATATATATATATATATATATATATATAATATTTGTTTATATTACTAGAGTTGTTAAGTTACCATAGCAACTATATAATCACCACAACAGATCAATTACTAAAGTGGTTGTGTTGCCATAGCAACTGTAGAATCACCACAACAGATCAATTACTATTGTGGTTGTGTTGCTATAACAACTGTAGAATCACCACAACAGATTAATTACTATAGTGGTTGTGTTACCATAGCAACTGTAGAATCACCACGACAGATCAATTACTATTGTGGTTGTGTTGCTATAGCAACTGTAGAATCACCACAACAGATCAATTACTATAGTGGTTGTGTTGCCATAGCAACTGTAGAATCACCACAACAGATCAAATACTATAGTGGTTGTGTTACCATAGCAATTGTAGAATCACCGAAACAGATCAATTACTATAGTGGATGTGTTGCCATAGCAACTGTAGAATCACCACAACAGATCAAATACTATAGTGGTTGTGTTGCTATAACAACTGTAGAATCACCACAACAGATTAATTACTATAGTGGATGTGTTGCCATAGCAACTGTAGAATCACCACAACAGATCAAATACTATAGTGGTTGTGTTGCTATAACAACTGTAGAATCACCACAACAGATTAATTACTATAGTGGTTGTGTTACCATAGCAACTGTAGAATCACCACGACAGATCAATTACTATTGTGGTTGTGTTGCTATAGCAACTGTAGAATCACCACAACAGATCAATTACTATAGTGGTTGTGTTGCCATAGCAACTGTAGAATCACCACAACAGATCAAATACTATAGTGGTTGTGTTACCATAGCAATTGTAGAATCACCGAAACAGATCAATTACTATAGTGGATGTGTTGCCATAGCAACTGTAGAATCTCCACAACAGATCAATTACAATAGTGGTTGTGTTGCCATAGCAACTGTAGAATCTCCACAACAGATCAATTACTGTAGTGGTTGTGTTGCCATAGCAACTGTAGAATCACCACAACAGATCAATTACTATTGTGGTTGTGTTGCCATAGCAACTTTAGAATCACCACAACAGATCAATTACTATAGTGGTTGTGTAACTATAGCAACTGTAGAATCATCTCAACAGATCAAATACTATAGTGGATGTGTTCCATAGCAACTGTAGAATCACCACAACAGATGAATTACTATAGTGGTTGTGTTGCCATAGCAATTGTAGAATCACCACAACAGATCAATTACTATTGTGGTTGTGTTGCTATAGCAACTATAGAATCACCACAACAGATCAATTACTATAGTGGTTGTGTTACTATAGCAACTGTCGAATCACCACAACAGATCAATTACTATAGTGGATGTGTTGCCATAGCAACTGTAGAATCACCACAACAGATTAAATTCAAGTACTTTACTACGAATGTGGTTTAAAACACTACAGTATTTTTTGTATGATGTATTTAAATTAGTGTATAAACAGTGGATTGCACACTTTTATCATAAAATAATAAACAATATCATGCATATTTGGAAGTCACACACAGATGGCATTGAAATAATAGGCCTGTTTTAATAAGTGGTGTTAAATTAGTTTTTAAATGGTGGCCATCATGTCTTAGTTAAACCATCAGTGCTGAGTTTATATCTAAGCTGAATTCTCAGAGACAGTGAGCAGAAGTGATGCATCACGATTAACCATGAAGCAGAAGAGCTGAACATCAGAGATCCGTCCAGACGCATGAGTTCAGGAGCAGAAAACGCGTCTGAGGCCCAGAGCAATGCAGTCAAGCAGAGCTGAACCTCTGTGTGTTTACTCAGCCGTACACTCACACACACTGTGCTGGAGAGTGGATCAAATCAGCACTGACATTATTTGCTTTCTGAAGTCACATTATGAGGATGAAAAGAGCCTCATTCACTGAGGCACACAGAGCTGGGTAGTAAGGGCTGAACAATATACACTCACCAGCCACTTTATTAGGTACACCTTAGTAGTACTGTGTTGAGCCCCTCTTTGCCTTCTAACTGTAATCCAAAAGTAGTCAGATTAATCAGGAGTAATCAGAATAAATTTTAGCTCAAAAGTAATCTAACTGTAATCCAAAAGTAGTCAGATTGATCAGTAGTCAGAATAAGGGTTGGAGCAAAAGTAATCTAACTGTAATCCAAAAGTAGTCAGATTGATCAGTAGTCAGAATAAGGGTTGGAGCAAAAGTAATCTAACTGTAATCCAAAAGTAGTCAGATTGATCAGTAGTCAGAATAAGGGTTGGAGCAAAAGTAATCTAACTGTAATCCAAAAGTAGTCAGATTGATCAGGAGTTGTCAGAATAAGGTTTGGCGCAAAGGTAATCTAAATGTAATCCAAAAGTAGTCAGATTAATCATTAGTAGTCAGAATAAGGTTTGGCGCAAAAGTAATCTAAAGGTTATCCAATAGTAGTGAGATTAATCAGTAGTAGACACAATAAGGGTTAGCGCAAAAGTAATTTTAACTGTAATCCAAAAGTAGTCAGATTAATTCGTAGTAGTTGGAATAAATTTTAACAGAAAAGTAATCTAAATGTAATCCAAAAGTTGTCAGATTAATCAGTAGCAGTCAGAATAAGAGTTAGCACAAAAGTAATCTAAATGTAATCCAAAAGTAGTCAGTATAAGGTTTGGCGCAAAAGTAATCTAAATGTTATCCAATAGTAGTGAGATTAATCAGTAGTATTCACAATAAGGGTTAGCGCAAACGTAATCTTAACTGTAATCCAAAACTAGTCAGATTAATTCTTAGTAGTTGGAATAAGTTTTAGCACAAAAGTAATCTAAATGTAATCCAAAAGTAGTCAGATTGATCGGTAGTAGTCAGAAAAAGGTTTAGCACAAAAGTATTCTAAATGTAATCCAAAAGTAGTCAGAATAAGGTTTGGCGCAAAAGTAATCTAAATGTTATTATATAGTAGTGAGATTAATCAGTAGTTGTTACAATAAGGGTTAGCGCAAAAGTAATCTTAACTGTAATCCAAAAGTAGTCAAATTAATTTGTAGTAGTCGGAATAAATTTTAACAGAAAAGTAATCTAAATGTAATCCAAAAGTTGTCAGATTAATCAGTAGCAGTCAGAATAAGAGTTAGCACAAAAATAATCTAAATGTAATCCAAAAGTACTCCTGTTACATTGGCATAAATGTGTTATCTAAGAGGTTCCATGACTGATTTTTTCATGTAATTTGTAATATGTAATTGATTACAATTTTTAAGTAATCTACCCATCTTCTGGTTGCACGTTAAGATAAATTTTTTGTTCTTCTTGGCATCTGGAAACACTATTGAATTAGTTTGTTCTGATTGTGGCCTTGAAGGTGCATGTTGAACTTTCTGTGGCCTCACTGGAGGAGTGAAAACACACACACACAAACACACAGTTGTTTTGGTTTTTCTGGAAGTCTTGAGGAGCTTCTGCTGGTGGCAGATGGTAATACCCAAGAGACTCTGGTTGATTAATCAGTAGGAGTCAGAATAAGGATTGGTGCAAAAGTAATCTAACTGTAATCCAAAAGTAGCCAGATTAATCAGTAGTAGTCTGAATAATTTTTAGCACAAAAGTAATCTAACTGTAATCCAAAAGTAATCAGATTAATCAGTAGTAGTCAGAATAAGGTTTAGCGTAATCTAAAAGTAAATCAGAAAAGTAATCTAAATGTAATCCAAAAGTAGTCAGAATAATCTGTAGTAGTCGACATAAATTTTAGCACAAAATCAATCTAAATGTAATCCAAAAGTAATCAGATTAATCGGGAGTAATCGGAATAAATTTTAGTACAATAGTAATCTAAATGTAATCTAAAAGTAGTCAGATTAATCAGTAGTAGTCAGAAAAAGGTTTGGTGCAAAAGTACTCCTGTTACATTGGCATAAACGTGTTATCTAAGAGGTTATATGACTGATTTTGTCATGTAATTTGTAATCTTTAACTGATAACAATTTTTAAGTAATCTACCCAGCTCTGGTTGCACATTACGATAAGTTTTTCGTTCTTCTTGGCATCTGGAAACACGATTGAATTAGATTGTTCTGATTGTGGGCTTGAAGGTGCATTTCTGAGGCCCTGTTTACACTAGTGCGTTTTAGTTTTAAAACGGCGTTTTAGAATGAAAACGATCCGCGTCCACACTCGCGTTTCACCCAGCGTTTCTGAACTGCTCTCCGTCCACACCAAAACGCTGAAAACGCACATCACGTGACCACACTCACACTCTCAGGCAAGCGCTGTAGCCAATCTACCCAGATGAGAGCTGTGCTTGTCGGACTGCTCATCAAGCATCTCCCGCTGGATCTAACCTCACTATATTTATTAAACGGAATATTTCTTTCATCTTGTTGTCTTTATTTAACGACATATTCATTGGACATTGGAATCTATTACTTGTTCTCAGGTAACGTGTTTTGGCTAAGCGCAAAGATAAGTTAATGATTAATGTAAGCACGTACATTCTGTATATTGACTGATCGCTTGCCTTTATTTCCTATAATGTATAAACTTATTGTATGTTATACTTTTATAATGGCCATTATAGATTAAAACTGATATTCAGCAAAGAGAGGGTGTGTTTCGTATTTTCACTGAAATTGAAAGGAGGCAGTTGTTGTAGGCTCCGTTTTGTTATAAATATGCACACAGTGAAGATGATGCTCATATTTGCAGCACGGCGCCTCAACATTTTTGCTGTCTGTTTAGTTGTTAATATTAAAATGAAAATAGGCAGTTCCTTATATCATGTTTACATTTTATTGTTGAGAAAGTAAAACAACGTAGCCAGGGTGATGTGAATGAAGTTATAAAGTACACTGTTCCCTTTGAAGATTTACCCGTGTCCTCGGTATAGTCTGTTTTCCATATCAAACTGAGAAGAAGAGAATGCAGCCATGATCAAACTTGCGAAGTTTTAACTTACACGGAGAAGATGCAGGACTGAACTGTGCGTGTTAGGCTACTTAATATTCAGGAAAAGCCCCAATCAGAGAGGCGAATGTCTGCAGCCCCGCCTCCGTTTTCAAATGTCTCCGTTTTCCATCATCCACACTGAGACGGAGCAGCATCGTTTCAGAATGAAAACGGCCTCTCCAGCGTTTTCGAAACGCTCCGTTTTCGGCGCTCGAGAACTCCGGCGTAGTGTGGACGGATGGCGTAACCGTAGCAAAACCTATGCGTTTTCAAACTAAAACGCATTAGTGTAAACGGGGCCTGAATCTTGAATCAGTGAAACACAAACACACACACACACACACACACACACACACACACACAGTTGTTTTGGTTTTTCTGGGAGTCTCTAGAGGAGCTTCTGCTGCTGGTGGCAGATTGCAATACCCATGAGGCTCTGGTTGGCGCATGCACACTAAATCTTGAGCCCGAGCTCAGGTGTGATGTCATCTCACACTGCATGGGGATTATTTTCCGCACCCGCGTTCAGTTGGGAGTAGGGCTTCACAATAAAGGAAAAATCTGACATTGCATTATTTAGTTTTTCTGCAATATATATTATGATATGAATACAATTTCATCAGATGATTTGGGAAAAAATAATTAATTTAGATTAAACAAACAGTGACCAGAGAGTCAACAGTATTCATATACAGACATGTAAAAATATAAACAATGTATAATCTTCATTGTATTAACAACTCAGTACAATTATTCCGCAATAAAGTCACGTACGATATAGTGCCTGAATGCTTTACACTCTTGAAATTCCTTTAAAACATGTGTAAATGATAAAGTTTCACTCTGTTATGGTTATACTTTGCAAAATAACTCAATTGTTGATCAAATATAATCCCAACTCAACATTGCATATCCTGCGATGTGACGCATTGAGATATCAATACTGAACAGATATATTGTGCAGCCCTAGTTGGGAGTGTTCATTGTGTTTGTGTTGGAATAGTTTTTATGGACACTATTGCATCTCTTCTGTTGCTCTTGTGGTTAAAGATTAACCGTCATGTATATTGCTTTATTATGACATTTTGTCCTAATTCCCTATAACACTGCAGCGGTCACGTCTTATCAGAATTACCTTAATTTCGAAATGACTCTCAGTAGGTATTTATGTGTAAAAAGTTTATCCCCAAAGAAGGTAATGTTTATTAACAAAAACAGAACTTAATTTTTAGTTCTGCTTTTTTGTACAATTGCAAAAAAAAAAAAAAAGATTAGGTAAATGGTTTAATTACAAATCCAAATTATAAAAGTGGTGTTTTGTTTGTTTTTGCAAATAACCTCTTGGTTTCTTTTTTGGCTCGAGACTTCCGGTCTCATTCACTTCCATTCATTTTTAAACGTTAAAAACAGCTTATGTTGCTTGATGATGCAAACTCTTAATATATTTTTTAGTGTTCAAACCTAAGCGCTTTTCACTGGCGTCAAGCAGAAGAGTATGCTAAATCACTCTTTTGACGTTAGATGGCGCTGCACAACTATAAGCTTTTGACACCCGCTTATAACACAGAAGAAGTGGAGGAGCGGAAGTTCACACGATTGTTGCTAAATTTACTGGTGACTCGAACAAGCATGGATAGTTTAAGCGGCGGTTCCAGCTCTAGTGATGAAGAAATGATTATTGTTCACAGAGGAATAAGCAGCTCCACGTTCATATCGCCTCTGAGCATCTCCTTCAATGTGCGCTCGCATTGACAGTTTTGCGCTTGAGCGCCTCCAAGTGCTGTTTACGAAAACTTCAGCAGCTCCGTGCACGTGAACAAAAGTGCCGATCTGATTGGTGGAGGAGGTTTAATGCAGTGCGTCAAAACAAAAAAACGAGCATGAGGCGTTTTTTTTAAAATGACGCTTTTGCGCCTGGCGTTTTGCACGTTAGTGTGCACAATCACATTGACGCCCTTTATTTAGTCAGGAGGCGTTAAACGTCAACAGAACACGCGAGCAAAAAACGTCTCGGTGCCTTAAGACTGTAAAAACAAACCAATAGTATCTGGATGCTGCCTTTATGATGCAAGCTGAGAATGCATCACTCAGCGATGCAATGTCAGACACAATGCACTCAACTGAGTGAGTGATGTCATTGTGGCTGGTAGGGTTAGGTGAGCGCATTAAAAAGCATTGGATACAGCTCAGATTGCACTGCACCAGGTCTGCATCCAGACTCCTTTCAAAACAACCATTCTGGATGTACAAGGTAGGCCATTTATATAAATATACCTTAATAAAATGGGAATGGTTGGTGACATTAACGTCCTGTTTGTGGCACATTAGTATATGTGAGGGGGCAAACTTTTCAAGATGGGTATTGACCATGGTGGCCATTTTGAAGTCGGCCATCTTGGATCCAACCTTTATTTTTTTTCAATAGGAAGAGGGTCTTGTGACACATCAAACTTTTTGGGAATTTCACAAGAAAAACAATGGTGTGCTTGGTTTACCGTAACTTTATTCTTTCATGAGTTATTTACAAGTTTCTGACCATTTATAAAATGTGTTCAATGTGCTGCCCATTGTGTTGGATTGTCAATGCAACCCTCTTCTCCCACTCTTCACACACTGATAGCAACACCGCAGAAGAAATGCCAGCACAGGCTTCCAGTATCCGTAGCTTCAGGTGCTTAGCGATTACTTTGGAATCTCTCGACTGACCAATCAGAATCGAGTGTTCCAGACATCAGTGAAATAAATGGCATGTAATATTCAGTTTTATTAAATATGACTCAATAAATCAGATCTACACAACTCAAATTCAAATAGTTCTGTTATAGTATTGTCAGATTGTTAGCTCCATACTCATAATAGACAAAGATACCAGTTTCCTAATTTGAAGAATTTCTGAATCAGATTTAAAAGGTTGACCAAAAATTACATCATGTTGGCGCCGATAGTCTAGTGCAGGGGTCACCAAACTTGTTCCTGGAGGTCCGGTGTCCAGCAGATTTTAGCTCCAACCTTGATCAAACACACCTGAACAAGCTAATTAAGATATTACTAGGTATACTTGAAACCCCCAGGCAGGTGTGTTGAGGCAAGTTGGAGCTAAACCCTGCAGGGCACCGGACCTCCAGGAATGAGATTGGTGACCCCTGGCCTAGTGGTCATTGCATAGACACAGCACTTAGGTGCTCAAGGTGACCCAACTTCGATTCCCAGCTCAAGTTTCTTTGCCAATTCTTCCCCTTTCTCTTTGCTTTGAGTGCATGACAGTGTGTGGCTGTGTGTGTGTGGTCATGTGATGTGCGTTTTCAGCGGAAGGAGGGCTGTTTGGAAATGCTAGATGTGGATCATTTTCGTTCTAAAATGCCATTTTAACACAAAGATTTATTAATGTAAGCGGGGCCAAAGTGTGTAGTTCTTGCGAGCGGGTTTGCAACGGGGCGCAGAATCGGTGATCCCTGCTCAGCATTGTGTTGTTGTGGGCGATGGCATCGTCAATCGGCCCAAACCTAGGTAGAACTAAAATATGCAAGACATCGGCCCTCTGGGACCAAGTTTAGGCACCCCTGATGTAAACGTAGTCAAGGTTGTCCTTCTGCAGAAAAGTAAAAAAGGTATTGTTTGCCTGTACAGTTTAACAGTTGGAAACGAATAACGTAAGCCCAGCATTGTCTGTGCCTAATGTTGTAATCTCTCATTTTCAGGCATGGTGCAGAAGTTGGACCAGAAGCTTCCGGTTGCCAATGAGTACCTGCTGCTGTCGGGCGGGGTTCGTGAGGGAGTGGTGGACATGGATCTGGACGAGCTGACGGTGTACGCACGAGGAGCGGATTACGACATGGACTTCACGCTGCTGGTTCCTGCGCTCAAACTCCATGACCGAAATCAGCCGGTCACGCTGGACATGCGACATTCAGCGCTCTGTCACTCGTGGCTCAGTCTGCGGCTTTTTGATGAAGGAACTATTAATAAGTGGAAAGACTGCTGTACAATGATTGACCATGCCAATGGCGCAACCAATTACTTTTTCTCACCAACACTGGTGGCCGATTGGTTCTACGAATCTATTAGCATGGTTCTGGCAGAGATCCAGAAGAAGCCACAGCGTGGCGTGCCTCGGGTTGAAAAAGTCGAGCGCAATGCTACAGTCATCTCGATAATCCTGGGCGTCGGAGGCAGTCGGATGTTGTATGATGTAGTTCCAGTTGTATCCTTCAAAGGTTGGCCTGCGGTCGCCCAAAGCTGGCTGATGGAAAACCATTTTTGGGATGGGAAAATTACAGAGGAGGAAGTCATTAGTGGGTTTTATTTACTACCTGCATGCTCGTCTACGGGCCAGAAGGAGAACGAATGGCGTTTGTCTTTCGCGCGCAGCGAAGTGCAGCTGAAGAAGTGCATATCTGCAAGTTTGATGCAGGCGTACCAAGCTTGTAAAGCTCTGATTATTAAGCTGTTATCTCGACCCAAAGCGATTAGCCCATATCACCTGCGCTCGCTCATGCTCTGGTCCTGCGATCGCCTGCCGCACACGTATTTGGCGCAGGAAGATTACGCTGCACACTTTTTGCTGGGTTTGATTGACGACTTGCAGCACTGCTTGGTGAATAAGACCTGCCCGAATTACTTCATCCCGCAATGCAACATGCTAGAGCATCTGAGTGATGACATGGCCATGCTGCATGCACGAAAGTTGTCGTCTGTACGCTCTGATCCTGCAGAACACTTGCGGAGCGCAATCGAGCATGCAAAAGCTGCATCGCGGCTTACGGTTGAGCTTCAGTGGCGCAGCGGAAGCTCAAACCTGCCGTCTCCGCTGTCTGAAACAGGAGCTGATCAACAACCAGATGACCGACTTGCAAAGAAACTCCAGCAGCTGGTCACGGAGAATCCTGGGAAGTCCATTTCCGTCTTCATCAATCCAGACGATGTAACGCGACCTCACTTTCGCATAGATGATAAGTTCTTTTGAAGCCACGCCCCTTGATCTGATTGGGCGCTGACAGCAGAAGATGCCACATGAACTAATTTCCTCACTGGTCACTGGTAAACTCTTCTAAAGCAATGCCTCCTGATCTGATTGGGTGCAGATGGCAGAAGACCTCAAGTTCGAATTGATGAGAAGATTTTCTAAAGCCACACCCCCTGCTCCCATTGGTCGCTTACTGCAGCTGGCTTTACATGATTTTCCTTTAGCACCTTTGACAATTTTGGCCAAACTATCTAATTTGATTGGTTGCAGATCGCAGATGACAGGTTTGTCAGAGGCCACGCCCCCCTGCCATTATTGGGTAATGACTTTCGTATTGATAACCAATCATATTGAATCTATGCCCCCATTCTGATTGGGCGCCAACTGCAGACAACATTACATGTTATCAGGTTCACATTAAGGATGTTTTTTATGAAGCCATGCCCCCTAATATGATTGGCCAGTGACTGCAGACAAATCATTATGAAGCCACGCCTCCAGATCTGAATAGACGCTGACTGCAGACCACGCCACATAACATCAGGTTCACATTGTTGACTTTCTCTAAAGCCACGCCCCCTGAAATGATTGTCTGCTGACTGCAGATGGTCTAACTTTCTCATTGATGATGAATCGTAGTTAAGCCACGCCTCCAGATCTGAATAGACGCTGACTGCAGACCACGCCACATAACATCAGGTTCACATTGTTGACTTTCTCTAAAGCCACGCCCCCTGAAATGATTGTCTGCTGACTGCAGATGGTCTAACTTTCTCATTGATGATGAATCGTAGTTAAGCCACGCCTCCAGATCTGATTGGCCACTGAATGCAGACTTGCATCTTTTTTAGTATTAATCTAAAGCCACACCCCTTTGATATAATTGGCTGCTGACTGTGAATTATTTCACTTTGTCATTATTACAATTTTTTTATGAAGCCCCACCCCCTGATTATACTGGGTGCTAGCTGTAGGCAAATAGTTTTGAAGCCAGATCACTCCAGATCTGATTGGGCGCTGACTGTAGATGATGTCACATGATATCAGGTTCACATTATTGACATTTTTCTAAAGCCACACCCCCTGATTTGATTGGCCGCTGACTGCATATGGTCTGACTTTCTCATTGATGATGAAGCGTACTTAAGCCACACCTCCAGATCTGTTTGGCTGCTGACTGCAGACTCGCATCTTTTTTACATTAACCTGAAGCCCCACCCCTTTGATATAATTGGGTGCTGACTGCAGATAAATCATTCTGCAGTCATGTCTCCAGATCTGATTGGCCACTGACTGCAGACAACATGACATGATATCAGGTTTACATTGCTGACTTTCTTCTAAAGCCACACCCCCTGATCTGATTGGGCGCTGATTAGAGACAACATGACATGATATTAGGTTCACATCATTGACATTCTTCTAAAGCCACACCCCCTGATTTGATTAGCCGCTGACTGCAGACCAATCGTTTTGAAGTCAGACATTCAGATCTGATTGGGTGCTGACTGCAGACATCACATGATATCAGGTTCACATCGTTGACTTTCTTCTAAAGCCACGCCCCCTTGATATGATTGGCCGCTGACTGCAGGCCAATCGTTTTGAAGCCACACCTTCAGACCGAATAGGCCGATGACTGCAGACAACATCACATGATATCAGGTTGACATCGTTGACTTTCTTCTAAAGCCACGCCCCCTTGATATAATTGGCTGCCAACTGCAAACCAAATGTTTTGAAGCTACGTTTCCAGATCTGAATGGCTACTCGCCGCATACAAAATCACATGATATCAGGTTACCATAATTGACTTTCCTTAAAAGTCACGCCCCCTTTATACGATTGGCCACTGACTGCAGATGAAATCGCTTTCTCATTGACAAAACGTTTAGAAGCCACATCCCCTGATTGGCCGATGACTGCCTTGTTGTTGTTCTTTGTGGTTTTAATGAGCTCTGGAAGCAGAAAGCCTTGTGTTTGGCACAGCGCTGGAGATGTTAAACACTTCGGACTTTCAATACGACGTTAAAAATGGACATGATCCTGTTTCACTGCTGCCCGTTAAAGTCGTGTCCACAAATCTGCTCCTTCCCATTATGGATGGGCAGCTTTTATAGGAAGGATATGGATAGATTTATGGAAGGATGTGTGGGGGGGGGGGGGGGGGGGGGGGGGGAAAACAGGATGCCCATAACTCCACTCAGAAGTGCAATTAGACAAGATGTGTTTATACGCTTTACTTGTAATTACACTGTAACATTATACTGTAAACACATTATTGTAGACACCAACACTAAACACACACACACACACTTAAGTCTCACCAACTGCACAGGAGGACTCCAAAAATACACACAAACACACTCCCTGTGATGATGGATGTTTGCTTCTTTTAACACACAATCTGTTTGGGTGAAACTCATGAAAGCACGCCAGTGTAACATTTCATTATTTTAATTTCAGAAAGTATTATTTAAGGGTGTTTATGATTTATGTGTCATTTTTAATGTGTTTTTCATCATTTTTTACTCTTGATTTAATTAATTGTCATTACTGTAATACAGTGATTTATAATATATAATTTATAAAATAAGCCAGAATTAAAGATGCATCAAATGAAATCATGCCATATACTTTGTGGGTCAAAATTATATATATATATTGACAGTTAATATATATTAACACAGTAGAAACCAGAAGTTTACATAATCTCTCTAAAAAAAGGAACATAAGCATTTTTTTAAAATGTCTGATGGTAAATCATACTAAACGTTTACTATTTTAGGTCTGTTAGGATTTCCTAAATGATTTACCTTTGCTAAATGCCAAAATAATGAGAGAATTTTTTATTAATTTCTAGACAGTCAAAAGTTTACACACATTTCCTTGGTATTTTTTAGCTTTGCTTTAAAACTGTATAACTTTGGTCAAATGTTTTGGGTATCCTTCCACAAGCTTCTCACAATAGTTTGAAGGAATTTTGGCCCATTCCTCCTGACAGAATTGGTGTAACGGAGATTTGTTGGCTGTCTTGCTCCCACAAGCTTTTGTAGCTCTGTCCACAAATTTTTGTATTGGATTGAGATCAGGGCTTTGTGATGGCCACTCCAAAACATTCACTCTGTTGCCCTTAAAGCACATTTAAACTAATTTGACAGTATGCTTAGGGTCATGGTCTGTTAAGAAAACCCATTTGTGGCCAAGTTTTAACAGGGTTTCTGCAGGGTCTTGAATCTCAAAATCCAAATTTTAGGCCTTAAAATGTCTTAAAGCGGGAGCAGCTGCAGCAGGCTCCACTCAGTGTCCACAACGTACAATCCAGTTTAACCACATCCAAACGCTTCTAAAAGATGGTCTTGGATGGTGAAACGCGTATAAAAACACAACACGTACAGGGAATTCGATGAAAAATAACAACATTGCATTATAGCTTAAATAAACTTTATAAAGCAAAAACAACATGACGCACGTATGTTGAAAATCAAATATTTAACCCAACTGGTTGAGTTATTAATAAATAATCAAATAAAGGTTAAAAATAACCCAACAAAGCAGCAAATATTTAACCCAACTGATTGAGTTATTAATAAATAATCAAATAAAGGTTAAAAATAACCCAACAAAGCAGCAAATATTTGAACCAACTGATTGAGTTATTAATAAATAATCAAATAAAGGTTAAAAATAACCCAACAAAGCACCAAATATTTAACCCAACTGGTTGAGTTATTAATAAATAATCAAATAAAGGTTAAAAATAACCCAACAAAGCAGCAAATATTTGAACCAACTGATTGAGTTATTAATAAATAATCAAATAAAGGTTAAAAATAACCCAACAAAGCAGCAAATATTTAACCCAACTGATTGAGTTATTAATAAATAATCAAATAAAGGTTAAAAATAACCCAACAAAGCAGCGAATATTAAACCCAACTGATTGAGTTATTAATAAATAATCAAATAAAGGTTAAAAATAACCCAACAAAGCACCAAATATTTAACTCAACTGATTGAGTTATTAATAAATAATCAAATAAAGGTTAAAAATAACCCAACAAAGCAGCAAATATTTAACCCAACTGATTGAGTTATTAATAAATAATCAAATAAAGGTTAAAAATAACCCAACAAAGCAGCGAATATTAAACCCAACTGATTGAGTTATTAATAAAAAATCAAATAAAGGTTAAAAATAACACAACAAAGCAGCAAATATTTAACCCAACTGATTGAGTTATTAATAAATAATCAAATAAAGGTTAAAAATAACCCAACAAAGCAGCAAATATTTAACCCAACTGATTGAGTTATTAATAAAAAATCAAATAAAGGTTAAAAATAACCCAACAAAGCAGCGAATATTAAACCCAACTGATTGAGTTATTAATAAATAATCAAATAAAGGTTAAAAATAACCCAACAAAGCAGCAAATATTTAACCCAACTGATTGAGTTATTAATAAAAAATCAAATAAAGGTTAAAAATAACCCAACAAAGCAGTGAATATTAAACCCAACTGATTGAGTTATTAATAAATAATCAAATAAAGGTTAAAAATAACCCAACAAAGCAGCGAATATTAAACCCAACTGATTGAGTTATTAATAAAAAATCAAATAAAGGTTAAAAATAACCCAACAAAGCAGTGAATATTAAACCCAACTGATTGAGTTATTAATAAAAAACCAAATAAAGGTTAAAAATAACCCAACAAAGCAGCAAATATTTAACCCAACTGATTGAGTTATTAATAAAAAATCAAATAAAGGTTAAAAATAACCCAACAAAGCAGCGAATATTAAACCCAACTGATTGAGTTATTAATAAATAATCAAATAAAGGTTAAAAATAACCCAACAAAGCAGCAAATATTTAACCCAACTGATTGAGTTATTAATAAAAAATCAAATAAAGGTTAAAAAAAACCCAACAAAGCAGCAAATATTTAACCCAACTGATTGAGTTATTAATAAAAAATCAAATAAAGGTTAAAAATAACCCAAGAATGCACCAAATATGTTTAGATCAACCATTGGGTTAAATAACTCAACGTATTTAGAGTGTAGGGTTTGCTTGTTTTTACACAATATTAAAAATATTTCTCCAAGAAATAAAATCTAACATATATTTCTTAAAATGTTTTATTGTATTGTTAATTGTATTAAATTATAGTTTTGTTGTTGATGGGGCAAAAAAAAATCTTAAGTCTAAAAATCTTAAGTCTAGAATGTAATTCATAATGGTCTTAAAAATGTCTTACAAAGTCTTAAATTGAACTCTGAAACCTGCAGATACCCTGTTTGATTTCCTGGCTGATGTCTTGAGATGTTGCTTCAGTATTTCTACATGATGTTCTTTCTTCATGATGCCATCTATGCTGTGAAGTGGACCAGTCCATCCTGCAGCAAAACAGCCCCACAACATGATGCTGCCATCCTCAGACTTCACAGTTGGGATGGTGTTTCTAGGCTTGTGCGCTTTCCCCTTTGTCCTCCAAATGTAACACTGGTCATTATGGACAAACAGTTCAATCTTAGTTCCATCAGACCACAGGACATGTCTCCAATATTATTATTTTTCCAGTGTATTTTAGCTAATTGTAGTCTGACTTTGTCGTTGATTCTGGCTTGTTGATTTTCCCATTTGTCACACGAGGAAGCAGTGTGTTTGAGGTTTTCCTTAAATACTATTCTACAGTTGTGCCTCCAATTAACTCAAATGTTGTCAATTAGCCAATCAGAAACTTCCAAATCCTTGACACCATCATCTGAGCTGTTTCAGAGACATGATAATCTTATTGTGTGTAAACTTGACTTTCAAGAAACAATTTCTCAACAAATCTCTCTCTCATTATTCTGCTATTAAGCAGAACAGAAACACATTTGATAATCCTAACTTACCTAAGAGAAAAAGTTTAGACACTGACTTATCTGACTTATTTTTAAATGGTATATATGATGACAGGCTTTTATGAGATTCACCCTATAAAATAAATCAAAGATTTTTTATTTGTTTGTGTTTCTATAAATATATGCTGCTAAACATGATGAGAGGTGCGTTGGATAACGTTTGTTTTTGTAATAATTTGAGTATTTTGATCATTATGTGATGTGCTTTGTAACTGTGTACATACTGCTGTAATTAACCCCACCCACTTTTCCCAGTTTGACCAATCCGATGGGCTGGTTATCAGCATCAACCAATCACGTGCACTCATTTAAATATCACATGCAGACCAAACGTGAATCTTCAAGCTCTACAGGGACCAATCGCAATGCCTTATCACTGATACACCAATGGGGTGTTTTATTCCGATTAAAGGGACCCTAAAGACTCTTTTACAAGCAGTCCTGCATTTCTCTTTATATCTGAATCAGGACATATCAGAAGTAAACAGAATATGTTGATTATTTTAGCTGTTGTCGTTAGACTGCTGTCCATGAGGATTGTATGTACGTGTCATTCTCTGTTTATGCTTGATAAATATGTGCCAGCGTGCAAAATAAGGACACCTCAGCAAAATAACATATCTGCTCTGGATCAATGTTGCATTGCATTTTAAACTTTGTGTTTGGTAAATAAAGCTGTACAGATATACAAAAGTGTGAGTGAGACCATATTTCTTTATTTCAGTGTAATATTGTTTAATAATTTTTGCTGTTTCTGAATTGAAATTGTTTGAATGACGCTGCATTTATTTGATCAGTAATACAGTAAAGGTTAAATAT